GGACCTGGGCAGACACTTTTTCAAGGAAGAGATACAGAGGACCCAGAGACATTCGAGAGGACTCAGCATCACTAGCCATTAGAGAAATGCTGATCAAAACCACAATGAGATACCACCACACACTGGTCAGAACCACCATCATAAACAGATCAACAAACAACAGGTTCTGGCAAGGCTGTGGAGAAAAGGGAACACTAGCACACTGTTGGTGGGAATGTAGACTCGTGCAGCCATTGCGGAAAGCAGTGTGGAATTTCCTCAGAAAGCTGAAAATGGAACTGCCTTTTGATCCAGCGAATCCCTTGCTGGGACTATACCCTATGAATTCCAAATTTCAAATTCAATTTGAAAGATCCTATGCACCCCAATGTTCATAGCAGCACAATTTACAATAGCCAAGTGTTGGAAGAAACCTAAATGCTCATTAGTAGATGATTGGATCAAAAAATTATTGTACATTTACACAATGGAATACTATGCAGCAGAAAGGAAAAAAAAGAACTACTACACTTCACGACAGCATGGATGGAACTAGAAAGCATTATGCTAAGCGAAATAAGCTATGGGGTGAAAACAAATACCATTTTATCTCACCTATAAGCAGAACGTAACCAACAAAACAAAGATGCAAGGAAAATAAGACCAGCAACACTGAAAGGAAAAGAAACCAACAGAGACAAGAAGGAAAGAGGAAGGGTTGGGCGGAGGAAAAGGAAGGGAAGGAGCTAGTCAAGGAACATATAGCAAGGACTCATGGACAAAACCAAAGTGGGGAAGTACTGATTGAGGGAGAGGGAAGAGGGGGCAGGGGAAAGTGGTGGGGGGGAAGGGAGAGACAAATGTATTTTAAAAAATATTTAAATTATTTTTTTAATAAAATTTTAAAGAAAGAAACACCTCTGGAGCACCTGGCTCTGGTGACAAGGGGGAGTCCAACATTGGGCCCCCGCATGACAATTTGTAAATAAGGCCAATTCTTTAGGAGCAGAAGATTTAGCTGACTTACCCAACACATCAAAACAAACAGGTAAAATGAAGAAAGAAAAGAATATGTTCCAAGTAAACAACAACAACAAAACATTAGAAAACCTGCAAAATGAACTAAATGAAATTTAGGTAAGCTGTCTACTAGATAAAAAGTTAAAAGTAATAGTCATAAAGATGCTCATTAAACTCTGCAGACAAGAGGATAAACTGAGAACTTCATCACAGAAAAAAATTATAGAACGTGGCCTATCAGAACTTAAGAATATGACAACTAAAATGAAATACACAGTGCAGGAAATCAGTAGCAGATCACATAACGCAGATGATTGGATCAGCAACAAGGAGACAGGTTAGTGGAAATCATCGAATTGGGAGATTAAAAAGAAAAAGAATTTTTTTGTTTAAATACATTTGTCTCCACCTTCCCACCACCACTTTACCCTGCCCCCTCCCCATAACATATGAATCATAGGGGGACCAGAAGGAGGAGAAACAAAGGGATCAAAAACCCACTTGGAAAAGTAATGGCTGAAAACTTTCCTATGCTGGTGAAGGAAACAGACATCCAAGTCCAGAAAGCACAGAGATTCCCAAAGAAGATGAACTCAGAGACCCATGCCAAGATACATTATAATTAAATAGTTAACTTAAAGAGAGAATCTTAAAACAGCAAGAGAAAAACAACTAGTTACATACAAGGGCATGCCCATAGACTATCAGCTAACTTTTCAACAAAAACTTTGCTGACCTGAAGGGAGTGGCACAGTATATTCAACATGATGAAAAGGGACAACCTACAGACAATTATATTCTACCCAGCAAGATTATCATTCAGAATTGAAGGAAAGATCAAGATTTTCCCACACAAGCAAAAGCTAAAGAAGTTCATCACCACTAAACCAGAATTACAAGAAATATTTTAAAATATTCTTTTAGTGGAAAAAGCCAAAAGTAGAAATAAAGTATATGAAAGAAAATATGTCACTAGTAAAGGCAAATGTATTGTAAAGATATTAGATCAACCACTTATAAATCTCGTATGAAAACAAAATGCCAATAAGTACATATCAATCAATAATTACTTTAAATGTAAATTGACTAAATAGTGCTCCATTGAAAAAACATAGGATGACTGAACGTGTTAAAAAGACCCTTGCATATGCTGCCTACCTGAGACTCCAGATTGAAAGATCAACGCAGACTGAAAGTAAAGAGATGGAAAAGATATTTTATGACAATGAATATGAAAAAAAAAAAGCTTAGCTAGCACTGTTTATATCATACAAAATAGACTTTAAAACAAAGGCTATAAAAAGAGACAAAGACCCAGCAATACCACTTCTGGACACTTATCTGAAGAAAACAAAATACTACTAAATACTAATTTAAAAAGATATATGCATCCCTATGTTCACTGCATCATTATTTACAATGGCCAAGATATGAAAGCAACATAAGTATTCATCAGTAGATGAATGGATAGAGAAGAAATGGATACAAACACACACATGTTGGAATATTACTCAACCATTAAAAAGAGTGAAATCTTACCATTTGCAAAAACATGGATAGATCTAGAGGGTATTATGCTAAGCGAAATAAGTCAGAGAAAGACAAATACTGTATTATTTCACTTATGTGGAAATCAGCAAATTGGGAGATCTAGTAGTAGAAGGTTTTATGTAATCTAAAAAAAACTAAACAAATGAACAAATAAAACAAACAGACTCACAGATGCAGAAAACTTGATAGTTGCCAGAGGGTTAGGTGGTGACGTATGATCAAAAGGTGAAGGGGATTAAGAGGTACAAATTTATAATAAATAAGTCAAGGAGATATAAAGTACAGCATAGGGAATACAGTCAATAATATCGCAGTAACTGCATGCTGACAGATGGATAGTGGGCTTTTTGTGACAATCACTTTGTAAGGTGTATAAATGTGAAACCTCACTATGATATTGTAACGTTGCCACCCGTTTTGTGGTGGGCACATTGTGGGAGCGCCGCCGCAGGTCACCACTCATCCCGGGTCCAGGCAACAACTGCCATGGGGGAACAGAGCGCATCGCGGGAGGGGTGGCCCTTCGGGATCTGAGGGTTACTGTCCAGGGCCAGCTGAGATGGGACCGGGACTCTGAATCCCACAGAGCCCATCACAGGGGTGTCACAAATGGGGGGAATAAACACAAGTCATCACAAATACTTTGTTTGCCAGGAGAAGGGACATGGCACATCCCCCTAGTAGGGAAGGCCCAGAGTCCCTTTGTTCAAAGGCTTTTATTGAAAGGGTTATCAGTGGGGCTAGGTAACAGGAATGCACAGGTTATCTCATTAAATCGGTAGGTTAATGTTTACAGAGAATAAGTGATGTTTTAAAGAAAACAAATGGCAGGAACACACCGATTTACATGGGTCCGAAAGGAGACTAGTAAACAAGAGAGACAACTAAACATGAGACTGTAGTAAACACGAGTGCCTAAGGGTATAAGGTTAGGGTCTGTGAATAATGTAAATTTCCTTCGAAGCATGAGCTGGCTATAGCTTCTGAGGGGAAAACAAAGCACACTTTAAATAATTTACTTTCAGGCCTGATTTCCCTGGGGACCACCAGATCTGGTTTAGGACTGACTCTGGTATCGTTTGGAGCCTAAGCCAGGCAGGGTGAGGGAGCCACCAAGAGACAAGGAGATTTTTTTCAGATAGAATGAGGACTCTGGCCATGTCCAAACTGAGCCAAGAGGTGCGGGCCTTTTTGCCCTTTTCTCTGTGTCCCCCAATTTCTTGTCTGCCTCCCACACCAGTCAATGTCTGGCTTAGGTTGTTATCTCTGCATGAGATAACTTACCTGTCATCAACAAGCAACCATCACAGGGTCAAGCAGAGAAGCAGGAGCTACACCCCGGCCAGGGAGACAGGTTATGTCTCCTCAGTGGCCTGTTACTCCAAGGCCTCCCTGATTATTTCTAGCCGTAGGGCCCTCCAGCCTGTCGGTGGGTTACAGTTCCTGAAACCAGACAGTGCATTGCCCAACATGATATACACCTGAAATGACTATAACACTGTATGTCAACTATAATTAAAAAGAGTGTTACATTTCAGCATGAAAATTAGACATGAGGCCAATGCTTTGTTTACTCTCTTTAAAAATTGTTGTTAAGATACCCAAGGTTGTTTATGCCTAATTTAAGAGGCAAGTACCCCATGCAATAAAAATTTTAAGTCCGTATTTGGAACAAAGTAACTGGGACCTTGGACTAGGGCATTACCCATGTCTTATTCAAAAGTTAGTTCATTTTCATGTACAAAAAGAAGAGAAGACCTGCTATAGAGTGGCTCTGTTCACTTTGAACAGGAAGGAATTGCTGTAGTCTGACTATGCCAAGAAAAATAAAGCCTCTCGTTGTTTTGGTTGCAGGTGGTCCAGTGTTGCCAGGTTTCCCTTTCAAACCTGGCAGTTCATCGAATCCAGATGATCCTTCAAGAAACACTTTACACATGTTGCAATACAAATAACCTCAAACTTCCTGTTCCAAACTACTAATTTAAATGTTTATGTATATCTAATAAGCCCAAAATATAGAAAGGAGCCACAAAGAATAGTGGCTTATAAAATGGCTGAATATTATTAAATGCTGACTAACATCAAAAAACAAAAACAAAACACAGCCATTTAGAGAATGAATTCAGGATTTACTTATCTGGAAGACTTTGAAGAGCTGGAAGAGGCCCAGGATAGGAAAGGAAGACCTTCTACCCCAACCCACTGCCCAGGGCCTCTCATCAATCCCTACCTATCTTCTTATGGCCTTCCAGTTCTATCTAAAGCAATGACTTATTTAGGGAAACTATTACATGGTCCTAAAAAGATGCTTGTAAATGTCCCAGGACTGGTGACCTCACCCACCTCAGAGTCCTGTCCCTAGAATTGTGGGAAACAATTTCTTCCTTTTATTAGACTTCACTTTCGCCCAACTAGGGGAGCTCTTCCTTTGGCATCAACCATGCCCTGACTCAAGTTCATTCACATATGTCCCTTTGTTGCCGGCGCTGGATCAGCTCGTGATTGCTCAGTAGGTAGTCATCAATGAATGTGAAGATTTCCTCTGGGGTGACAGGTTCCCTGTAGCGTTCCCGGTCAATCCCTTGCTTGTCAATCAACACCATGTTGAAGTAGGAGCGAGTAAGGCGCTGGAAGTGCCTAGAGAGAGGAGCCCAGGGAGGTATGAGATTTTGTCTGCGTTTATCCCACCAAGCTCTACTACCCTCTGACTTTTCACAGCCCCACTGATGGACTAATTCCTTCCCCAAATGATTCCTTGTCCCCATTCCCTTCACTACCTATCTCAAGCCCCATTTTCTTTTCTGCTCAGACTCTAAACTTGCTGCCCTTAAATGTCTAGCTCTTCTAAGCTGTTGTTTTCTCATTCCAGATGGAGCAGCTACATTATTACCAGGCTGTGCTACCCTCATAGATGCCCCTTGAGTAGGGCTATCACATATAGTGATGCAGGCTGCATGGAATAACTTCAGGGAGCACCAGTTGCATGCACTATGATATGACTAGTGTTTTTTCAAGTTGAGCTGGGCATACCTGCACAAACATACATGGAAGCTCTGAGGTCAATCAACATCACCTGCTCTACTCTTCTACTTGTAGCTGCAAGTCTGCAGTCTCCTTCCTCTGACTGTTTCTCAGTTTCTCCCCTACATGGGACTGGAATATTTCTGTCCCTACTGAGAATGAAACCTAGAAGCAGGTAGTATATCTAGAACAGAGAGCAGTGGTGGCTATTAGCTCTGCGTATATGTGGAGACATTGGAAGGGTGATAATGGATAATGGGAAAAGTCAATTTCCACCGCCTATCACCTAGAGTCTGTTCTTCCCTCAGGGGCAGATAGGTATGATTCAGATTTTTCTGCCTATTTTGAGACTGAAGGCAAATAGTTGAAGCCATAAAGGAACAGGATCAGAGGCCTATCTGAGTCATGTTTGGGTCTGTGTCTCAGTCTTGGCTGCGTGTCAGAATCATGTGTGGTTCCTTATTTATTAAAAAAAAAAATAAGAAGAAAAAGAAAAAGGGAAGAAAAGGCAGTCCTGAGGTGGTTTAGGATGGGGCCTGGTCATCTGTATTTCAAGCCCCCTCCCAATTTGATTCTAATGTTCTGCCACTCTGGTTTTTATTTTTTTTTTTAATTATTGTCTTGTGAGAGAGAGGGTTGGAGAGAAAAATATTAGTTTGTTGTTCCACTCACTTATGCATATATTGGTTGACTCTTTTTTAAATTAAATTTGATTTTACTTTTAAGATTTTATTCATTTATTTTTAGAGAGTGGGGAGAGGAGGGAGAAAGAGGGGAGAGAAACACCAATGTGAGAGAGAAACATCAATTGATTGCCTCTTGCTTGCACCCTCACTGGACTGGAGACTGAACCTGCAACCCAAGCCTGTGCTCTGACCAGGAATCCAACCAGTGACCTTTTGCTTTACCAGACAACACCCAACCAACTAAACCACACCAATCAGGGTCATTGGTTGATTCTTATAGGCTCCCTGACTGGGGATTGAACCCACAACTTTGGCATATTGGGACAATGATCTAACAAACTTAACTACCCAGTCAGGGCCATCTGGTCTTAACTAATGCACTCAAAAAGTTCAAACACAAGCAGTGCCTCAAGAGAGTAGTGTGGCAGATTCTCTCACAACCCTCATGTTGCCAATATTTCACCTAGGGTTTCTGTCCACCCCTTCCCTGTGGCCCTCCAGCCTGGACCTGAGCTCCTCAATGATGTTGGCTGACAGATGTTGCTCCTTGATGCGCCCCACTTCCTGAGGTGGCTGCCCCACCAGCTCGATGATGGTCACATGTCGCAGGTCCAGCCCGCAAGTAGATTGCTGGGAAGGGAGAGAAGGTTTTACGGAAGTTTCTCAGATTCAAACCTAAAACTACTTAGCTGATCCTTCCTGGGGCTACCTTGAGGCAATGTGTGGGAAAGGAGGGGCTTGTCACCCAACCATCACATAATGAGGTATACAACCACTTCCCTCTGTCATTCCTGATGTACTTGCCCTAACAGTTTTTCCTTTATTCCAAGAAAGTATATGAAACTGGTTACAACATGTGGGGTACAAAAGAAAAATGTAATTTATGAATTGCAGGAATATAATCTCTACTTGCTTAGGTTTGCATAGATTTTAAAATATGTCCTTTTTCTGTAATTGAGATACTTATTGATGTATAGCATTAATTTCAGGTATGTAACATAAGTCATCTAATATTTTATATATTAAAAAATGATCACCATGATAAGCCTAGTTAACATCCATCACCATAAATAGTTATAAATTTTTCCTTGTCATGGGAATGGCTATGATTTATTTTCTTAGCAATTTTCAAATACACAATACAATATTATCAGCTGTAGTCACCATGGTGTATGTTATATACATAGGACTTATTTCTATTATAATGTGAAGCTACATATGTTCTTTTATATTTTTATATATTTTTTATTTTTCAGAGAGAGAGAAGCATCGATTTTTTGTTACACTTATTTATGCATTCATTGGTTGATTCTTGTATGTGCCCAGACTGGGAATTGAACCCACAACCTTGGTGTATTGTGATGATGCACTAACCAACTCACCTACCTGTCCAATGCCGCTTTATAGGTTCTCTATTGTGATATAATAATGGCTATTATTTACTGAGCACATATATCTAACATTTGCAGGCATAATTTAATTTAATCCTCATAATACCCCAACCAATGCAAACGATATTTTTATTCTATAAAGGAAAATGTAAGTTGCCCAAAATCGTATGACAATAAAATGCTGAGCCAAAATTTAAATTCAGGGCTGCTACTGCCTATCCAGGTGTGTGCTCCTTACCATTAGGCTGCAATCTCTGTCTCCAGGATTTCTGCAAGAGTGCCAGTGCTCTTTTCATTACCTTTTGTTGCCTTCTTCACACTAGACAGGACATCATGTAATCCTACCCTGGCTATTTGTTCTGTGTTGTCCTGTAGGGTTATCTCTGAGCCAGTTACCTGGAGCAATGTTTAAAGTGTCAGTAAACACTCCCTGGTACCCCATCCCTTGTCTAATCTTTGGGCTACTCCTTCAGTCCTGAGCTTCAGAGTCACTGTCCTCATTGCCTGGTTCTAGTTCTTGTTCTTGCTTTCTGTTCAAGCTGAGGTATTGCATTTATTTGCTTTTTGCAAAGGGGATTCCTAGAGGAACTAGGTTTTTTTTTTTTTGTTTAGATATTCAGGATCATGCTTTTGATAAAGCTGCTTCCATCATGGGTCTCTAAATATTGACAACTTCTAATATTCAACCTTTAGAAAACCCATAAATAACTTTTTTAAACCTGGGTTTGCAGCTCTTCAGAGCTGGTTCTCTCTGTCTTGTTATCATACCATGAGTTCTTTTTCAAGAACCTAGTCTATTTTTTCCCTAAGTCCTAAATGGTCATATCTATTCTGTCCTATCCACATTTCCTTCCCCACAAGTGGCTTTGGCTAGATATTCCATAGTGTATTAAAAATCATTGTGCTACTCCCTCATTTTACTTTGAAATATCAGCATACTTTTCTTTCTTTTCTGCAATATGTAGTGGCTAAGAGCATAGATCCTGAAATCAGACTACCTGGGTTCAGTCCTGGCTCAGTCACTTAACAAGCTTGTAAGCTTGGGCAAATCTTTAACCTCGGTATGCCTCAGTTGCCTTACCTTTAAATTGGGGATAGTAATAATACCTACCTGATAAGGGTTGTTTTGAGAATTGAATGAATATGTGTAAAGCACATCCATATATACCTGGTATCTGTACAGTAGTTACCATCTAAGCATTTGTTAATGATATTATTCCTTGAAAACATAATTTAATGCCAACATTTACATTTGATCATACCTGTTTTACAAGTCTCTCTACAGTGTTCTGCCACATTCTTTTCCACCCTTCACCAAAGACCCTTCAAGTCATGCTCACCATTCCAGTGTTCTGTCTTTTTAGTAAAAACATAGCAATTTTTTAAATGTACTAAATTTGTCTAGAGCAAAACTGATCAGATATTGTCCATAACGAGTTTGAGGAAGTAGGGTTTGTGCTTCAGAAAGAGCAACTCTTTGATTTGGAAGAGGTAAGGGAATAATGGGGTGAGGTTATAGAGTATACAAAGGAGCTAAGCACTAATTAGGGGAGTGGGTCTCACCTGTAGCATAGAGATCTGCATTTTGTAATATTGATTCGAGGGATCAGGAGCCGAGATGATGAGGAGGCGTTGTTTCTCATAGAACTGATCCAGAAGGCCAGCAGCTGAGTTGACATTGACATTAATCTTCATAGCTAGGGAAGAAGCAGATGACCTTTCAGATTACAGCCTTCTCCTTTATCCCAGCATTGGCAAAAACATCTTGAGGAGTTCCAATCTTTCAGGTTAACCTTTTTGGTTGTTTTTCCCTTTCCTTGGGGAAGATCTTGAAAAAACACTTAGAGATTTTAAATTCTTTGTCCTGTAGTAAGAATATTCTGAAGGAGAACACTGGCCCTTAAAATAAACACATCTAAAACACCCCCCCATTCCTACATCTTATACATAATTATTGAACGCCTCTGCCATATACATTGGGAGATTCTCCAAAGTAACTCTGATCAATATGTCTACTCTCCCCATTCCTTAGTTTCACTCACAAGCACAAATGGGTGGTGATCCTGACCACTGGCGGCTAGACTGGCAGACCCTGGAGGGGGTTCCTTGCCGCTCATAACCTCCATCACAGTGATATTCACAGGTGGCACCGTAGTTGTTTCCCCCTGAGGTACAGGTGAGGTAACCATGCTGTGGTGGTTTCAGAGTTGGGCAGCGTCTCACTGTTTGGAAGGAATTGAAGTTAGAGGCTATGGCATCTCATTTAGGAGGAAAAAAAAGGGATTAAAAGGGTGTCAATGCTGGGTTTTCTAGATCAGGAGATCTAGGATGATCAGAATGAATGACTTCTTCATGTTTCCAATAGCCAGGAACACAGCCAGAATTTTCTCTTATTAAGGAATTAAATCTGAAATGTAGACAAAGATGTTCATAAAATCTGGAAGCATAGGTGAGTATACATATTGTCTTCAAAAGACTTCATTTATCTGTGAAATAAAGTTTCCCTTTCTTTGTTTTCTGACCTTGTGCCCACCCTACATAAAGATGACCACCTTATAAAATTACATTTAATATTAAAAATAAATAGGAGGAGACTTAAATATCTATCAGTTGGACAAGTGTTAAGCAAATTATATTTTTAGAAGTAGATTATTATGCTATCATTAAAAATATTACTGAAGAATTTATTTTTTATTTTTATTGTTCAAATACATTTTTCTCCTTTTTCCCACCATGGCTTTCCCCTTCCCCCCTACCCTACATCCTTCCATTAATCCTTTCCGACTTTGGCTTTGTCCATGGATCATTTATACATGTTCCTTGTCTTGACCCTTCCCTTCCCTTTCCCCACTCCCCATCCCCATTCCCTCCTGATTCTGTTGATTTCTTTTTTCCTTCAATGTTGCTGGTTCCATTTTGTTTGATTGTTTGTTTTCTTGATTAGGTTCCACTTGTAGGTGAGATCATATGGTATTTTTCTTTTGCCTCCTGGCTTATTTCAGTTCATAATTCTCTCCAGTTCCATCTATGCTATCGTGAAGGGTAGTAGCTCTTTCTTTCTTTCTGCTGCATAGTATTCCATTGTGTAAATGTACCATAGTTTTAAAACCACTTATTAACTGATGGGCAGTTAGGTTGCTTCTAGCACTTGGCTATGTAAACTGTGCTGCTATGAACATTGGGGTGCATAGGTTCTTTTGAATTGGTGTTTTGGGATGCTTAGGGTATAATCCCAGCAGTGGAATCACTGGGTCAAAAAGCAATTCCATTTTTAGCTTTTTGAGGAAATTCCAAACTATTTTCCACAGTGGCTGCACCAGTCTGCATTCCCAGCAACAGTATATTAGGGTTTATTTTTCTCCACAGCCTCACCAGCACCTGTTGTTTAGGAACATTTTGTCTATTTCATTGAGGTTTTCAAATTTGTTGACATATAATTGTTCATAGTAGTTTCTTACAATCCTTTGTATTTCTGTGGTATCAGTTGTTATTTCTCCCCTTTCATTTCTGATATTATTTATTTGGGTCCTCTTCCTTTTTTTCTTGATGAGTCTCCTTAAAGGCTTGTCGATTTTGTTATCTTTTCAAAGAACCAGCTCCTGGATTGGTTGATTTTTTGAATTGTTCTTTTTGTCTCTATGTCATTCAATTCTTCTCTGATCTTGATTATTTCCTCACTTCTACTTGCTCTGATATTTATTTGTTGTTGTTTCTCCAGTTCTTGAAGTTGTAGGATTAGCTCATTTTTTAGAAATGCTTCTCTTTTTTAGGTAGGCCTGTATTGCTATGAATTTCCCTCTCAGGACTTCCTTTGCTGTGTCCCATAGGTTTTGGACTGTTGTGCATTCATTTTCATTTGCTTCCAGAAACTTTTTGATTTTTTCTCTTACATCATTATTGTCCCATTCATTGTGTAAAATTGTGCTATTCAGACTCCATGAGTTTCAAAGCTTTTGAGGTTGTTCCTTGAGGTTGGTTTCCAATTTCAACCCCTTATGGTCCAAGAAAATCCTTGTTATTATTTTAATTTTGCTGAATTTGTTAAGGCTTGTTTTGTGTCCTATCGTGTGGTCTATCTTTGAAAAAGCTCCATGTGCATTTGAAAAGAATGTGTATTTTGCCTCTTTGGGATGAAAGTTTCTATATATGTCAGTTAAGTCCATTTGATCTAATGTATCATTCAGTTCCAAAATGTCCCTGTTTATGTTTTGTTTGGAAGATCTATCAATTAACAACAGTGGGGTGTTACAATCCCCTACTATCAGCGTGTTACTGTCTATAACTTTCTTGAAGTCCTCCAAGATTTCCCTTATATATTTGGGTGCTCCTATGTTGGGTGCATGTAAGTTTACAATTTTTATGTCTTCTTGATGGATTCTTTCTTTGAGTATTAAAAAGTGTCTCTCTGGATTTCTTTTTATGGCATTTGTTTTGAAATCTAATTTGTCTGATATAAGTATTGCTACTCCTGCTTTTTTTTTTCCCCCTGTTCATTTGCTTGGAATATTTCTTTCTATCCCTTTACTTTCAGGTCCTACTATTGAAGTGGGTCTTTTGTAGGCAGCATATGTGTGGGTCATATTTTCTTATCCATTCAGCTATCCTGTGTCTTTCGATTGGGGCATTTATTCCATTTACACTTAGAGTTATTGACAGGTAAGTATTCTTTTTTTTTTTTTTTTATTTTGTGCTTGTGTTCATCTCACTCTTTTTCTTCATCTTCTTAAACCAGTCCCTTTAGCATATCTTGTAGTACTGGTTTGGTGGATGTGTGTTCTTTTAGCCTTTGTCTGGAAAGTCCTTATTTCACTTTCTATTTCAATTGAGAGCCTTGCTCGGTAGAGCAGTCTTGGTTGTAGGCCTTTCCTTTTCATTCCTTGGAATATTTCTTGCCATTGCCTTCTGGCTTGCAGTGTTTCTGTTTAGAAGTCAGCTGCTAGCCATATCAGGGCCCTCTTGTATGTTACGACCTGTTTCTCCCTTTCTTCCTTTTGGATTCTTTCTTTGTCTTTGACATTTGCCATTTTAATGATGATGTGTCTTCGAGGGGCCTCATTTGGTTCCTCTTGAATGGGGCCCTCTGTGCTTCCTGGACTCGTGTGACTTTTTCTCTCCTGCACATAGGGAAGTTTTCCATCACTACTTTTTCAAACAGGCTCTCTATCCTTTGCTCCTCTCATTGTCCTTCTGGTATATCTATTATAATGGTATTATTATATTTCAGGTTGTCCTGCATTTCCCTAAAGATCTCTTATTCTTTTTGAGTGTTTTTTTCAATTTATTTCTCTTTCTGGGAGCTTTTTTATACCTTATCCCCCAGCTAGTTTTTTATCCTCTGCTTCATCTAGCCTGTTTTGATTCCTTGTACTGTGTTCTTCTATTCAGAAATTGTATTTTTCTTTTCCTCTTTTCTCTTATTGATAGTTTCTATGTTCTTTTTCATGTTGATGTAATTTGCCTTAAGTTCCTTATAGTTTCCCTCTAGTTATTACTGAAGAATTTTTAAAGAACATGGGAAAGTTTTGTTATAATGAAAATTGTAAGAGATTATCTAATAGTGTATATATATTATGAATCAACTATATATTTTTTTAAAGTATATGAAGATAAAAGATTGGAAAGAAAATACCAGGACTTCTGGTCAAGATGGCAGTGTAGGTAAACAAGGCTCACCTCTTTGCAGAACCACATTAAAATTACAACTAATCTATAGAACAACCATCACTCAGAATTATCAGAAATCAAACTGAATGGAAGTACTATAAGTATGGAATTGAAGAATAAACCAAGTACGGAATAAAGAACAAACCACATTGAGACTGGTAAGTGGGGTGGAGATGTGGAACAGGCTGGTCCCATACCCATGTGTAGTGGATAATAATCAGGAGGTATATCTCATGAGCAGGGGGTCCCAGCCCAACACTAGGATCCCAGCCCAGAGTTCCAGTGCCAGGAAGATAAGTCTTCATAACTTCTGGCTGCAAAACTCAGCAGGTATCGAGGCTGTGGACGACTGAAACTGTTGGAGTCTCAAGTAGTTCCTCTTAAAGGGCCCATGCAGAGAATGACTTGGACTCACTTCCTCTGAGATCCAGTTTGGGGGCAGCAGATTGAAAGGAATAAGAGACATACATGGAGGAACTGAATTGTCTGGAATCAGGGTGAGAGTTGGGGATGCAGCTTTCTCCCAAGCAAAAGAAACAAGTGTGGCATGGCCACTGTTCATTTTGTGAGCCCTCCTGCCACAGAGCCACAGAGCCAGCAGGTGGGTACCATATCTGATTCCCCAACAACTTGGCTTACAGTGTATGCCCCACCCTGGTGATTCCCTGAGGACTTGCCCCACATAACTTTTTGGCCCACCCAACCTATTTCCAATGGCTTTTCCATATTAATGATCTGTCTTCACTCTTGCTTCAGATTCTTATGAATTCTCTGAAACAAGCACGATCTGGCTTCAGTGAGCCCCATACCTCTTGCTAAGTTGCCCCAGGCCCAGCATTAGCATCTGCCAACCTTGGTTCACAGCTTGGCCTCTTCTGGGCACCTCCAAGCAAAGCACAAATAACAGCCATCTACAGATTTCTTTATATTTTATTCTGTGTGACCCTGTACAGAACCCAGGTGATGGCTGACCCTGGATGTGCCAGCAGCAATCAAGGCTTTAACTACAACAGGAGGGAGTACACAGCCCAAACAGTGTGTGTGTCTTGAGTACCCAGCGTGGGTAAATGAGGAGGCTGTGACACTGAACTCGACAGAACACCTACTATACTACGCCACTCTACCAAGCTTGTGTGATGTAGCAGCCCTGCCTAATACATAGAAACAAACATTGGGAGGCTGCCAAAAGTAGAAGACAAAGAAACATGACCCAAAACTCCAGAAAAAGAACTAAACAAAATGGAGAAGAGCAATTTATCAGATGCAGAATTTAAAACACTGGTTATAAGGATGTTTAAGGAACTTATTGAGGACCTCAACAGCATTTAAAAAAAAAACAGAAAGGATAAACTAATTGAAATAAGAGCAATTTACAGGGAATCAAGAGTAGAGTCCATGAAGCCAAGAATCAAATCAGCGGCTTGGAATATAAGGAAGCAAAAAACAAAAACAAAAACAAAAACAACCAATCAGAACAACAAGAAGAAAAAATAATCCAAAAAAATGAGGATAGTGTAAGGAGCCTCTGGGAAAACTTCAAGCATACCAACATTCACATTATGAGGGTGCTGGAGTGAGAAGAGAGAGAGCAAGTAATTGGAAATTTATTTGAAAAAATAATAACAGAAAACTTCCCTAACTTGGTGAAGGAAATAAACATACAATCTACAAAGCACAGAGTTCCAAACAAGATGAACCCAAAGAGGCCCACCCCAAGACACATAATTAAAATGCCAAAGGTTAAAAATAAATGAGAATGTCTTTTAAAAAGATTTTATTTATTTATTTTTAGAGAGAGGGGAATGGAGGGAGAAAGAGAGGGAGAGAAACATCAATGTGTGGTTGCCTCTCATGCATCTCCAACTGGGGACCTGGCCCACAACCCAGGCATGTGCCCTGACTGGGAATCAAACCAGTGACCCTTTGCTTCACAGTCCAGTGCTCAATCCACTGAGCCACACCAGCCAGGGAAAAGAGAGAATCTTAAAAGCAGTAAGAAAAAAGCTGTTCAGTACCTACAAGGGAACCCCCATAAGACTGTCAGGCTGATTTCTCAAAATAAACTTACAGACTAGAAGCGATTGGTAAGAAATATTCAAAGTGATAAAAAGCAAGTACCTACAACCAAGATTACCTAGCAAAGCTATCAGTTAGAACTGAAGGACAGATAAAGAGCTTCCAGGACAAAAACAGCTAAAGGAGTTCATCACCAACAAACTAGTATTATATGAAATGTTAAATGGTCTTCTTTAAGAAGAAAATAAAAAATATGAGCAATAAACTGGCAATAAGTACATATTTATCAACAATGATTCTAAAAAACAAAATAAACAGACAAAAAGAACAGAGACAGAATCATAGGTACAGAGAACGCTTTGATGGTTGCCAGGTGGGAGTGAGGTCAGGGCATGGGCTAAAAAGGTGAAGGGATTATGAAGTACAAATTGGTAGTTACAGAGTAGTCGTAGGGATGTAAAGTACAGCATAGGGAATAGAGTAACCAAAGAACACATATGCATCACCCATGTACATGGACAATGGTGTGGGGATTGCCTGAGGAAGTGGGGGATCTGGGTGGAGGGGGACAAAGGATGAAAACTGGGATGACTGTAACAGCATAAATAATATACTTTAAAATAAGAAAGAAAGAAAATACCAAAATATTGACAACAATCACCTGTGGAAGATGGGATAATAGATTTTTCCTTGTATATTTCTGTATTTCCTGCGTTCAAAAGTGAGTATGAATTATATTTATAATGAAAAAAACAATACAAAACAACACAACATAACACCAAAAGAAGAGGAAGAATTACACAGGAAACACCACCAGTTTCAGCAGAGGCAAAAGACTGAGAATAAAGGCTAACTAGACTTAACATATATAGCAGCAGTCCCCAAACTTTTGGCACCAGCAACCAGTTTTGTGAAAGAATTTTTCCATGAACAGGTAGGGGATGGAAAGCGGGAAGGGGATGGTTTGGGGATGATTCAAGTGTATTACTTTTATTGTGCACTTTGTTATTATTACATTGTAATATATAGTGAAATAATTATACAACTCACCATAATTCAGGATCAGTCGGACCCCTGAGCTTGTTTTCCTGTAATTATATGGTCCCATCTGGGGGTGATGGGAGACAGTGACACCCTAAGTGTTTTGCTTATGTCAAGTCTACTCCATAATCTCATTTTGGTTGCTGTCACTGCAGAAAACGCTGCTTCATAAAAATAGGATGTTGGAAACAGAAGCAGACCTTTCAGTGCTTTTGTGGCAGTCTTAGGATACTCCATCTTGACTTTAATCCAGAACATATGGAGATTTGAAGTTGTCTCAAACATACTTTTAAGGTCACCATCCTTTGCAGTCTCAAGCAGTAGATCCTTTTCTAGCACGGCCGAAGTCTATTTACCTAGCTTATTCACAAATGGGTCGCAGATCTTCCCAGTTCTGGGTCTTTGTGGTTGGGAAGTAATGCTCAAACTCTTTTGAAAGCTGAGTAGGTGATCATGCACCAGCTGGGAGAAAGAAGGCCCTGGCTCAGTCTCTTTCAAAATCTCTGCTAATGTTTGAAACATCAAAAATCCCAATGTTCACTCATCGTTCCCATTATTCCAGTTTGGCTTTGAATGCAGCCACTTTATCTGCTGACTTGAACACAGTTGTCACTCTCTTCTAAAGTGACAGATTGAGTTCATTGAGCAGGTTGAATATGTCACACAAATAAACAAGTTTTGTGACCCTTTCTGTGTCACTGAAATGTGCTGCCAGTGGTGACTGTTTTCCTAAAAGAAATCTCTGGAATGGCTCTCATAACTCAAAAACTGACCAGTGATCTGCCTTTAGAAAGCCATCTCACTTCTGTGTATAAGAGAAGATGTGTGTGCTCTGTGCCCAACTCCTCACCTTCACATAGCTGCATGAACAGGCATAAGTTAGGGGCATGGACTATAATGTGGTTGATAATTTTAATCACATCCTGCAAAACGTTATTAAGTTCAGGTGACATTTTTCAGCTAGCCAGCATTTCTCTATGGATGACACAGTGTGTAGACTAACATTCATAAATGACCTCTTTGACCCGAGTAGTAAAATTGGAAAGCCATCCAGTCATGGCAGCTGCTCCATCCATGCATATGCCAACACAAAATGACCAATTCAGTTTTCCTGATATGTAATCATTCAAAGACTTGAACAGCTATGCAGCTGTGATGTTGGTTGGCAACATAACTGCACATAGCATATACTCATGCATATCCTCCTGAAAAACATATTGCACAAAAACAAGCATTGTTACCTTGTTTTCAGCATTGGTAAACTCGTCAACCTGGATTGCATACCATGATGACTCATTTCTCATATCTAACAATTGTGCCTCAATATCTTCTGCTATTTCATCAATTCATCTAGTTATGGTGTTAGCCGAAAGAGGAACATGTGCCACCTTTTGAGATGAAACCTCTCCTAAAACTTCATAACAAACATTCTTAGACCATGCAGAATCAACTCTTCACCAACAGTAAAGGGCTCCTCCGCTTTAGCAATGTGGTTAGCCACTAAGAATGATGTTCTCCATGCAAACACATTTGACAAAGTGGTGGCCTTCAATAACTGCTTCTATTCTTCATTTCATGTTGTTTTTTTTTTTCTTTTGAAAAGCTCCAAAGGCTTGTCTTTTAATGCAGGGTTCTTGGTCTCTATGTGGCAAAGCAGTTTTGAAGGTTTCATGATTTTGCTTCATAGTCAGTCACCACATATTATACAAAACAGGTCTGGGGAATGTGAATTACCTGTTGCAATGAACCCATAATTTAAGTAGGACTCTTGGTATTTCCTTTTAAATACAGCTTTTTTTTGGGGGCAGTCTTAGAGTCTTCTTCTGTGTCATCATTGGGTCTTTCCCCCTTTTCAAAGAAGCTCTCCAGCAATGTTTGTTTTTTACTCATTTTGGCTAGGGTTAGGTTGTGATCTCACCAAAACTGTGACTGAGACAAGTGCACAGTGCAGAAAAGAGGCACGGATGGAAGTGGTAAATAAAACAATGGGTGGGCCACACACAGACTAAAATAAGTGTTTGATTCTGACTTAAAGCCCGCTACCAGATGCAGCTATACAACTGAAGTACATCAACTCACTTGGCACTATAAAGCCTGCCACCAGATACAGCTTAATTGCCACTCTCTGATAGGATTTTGTTATGAGTCTACAAGCAATTGATTTACTATGGTCTCTGTGCAGTCAGACCTGTCTGCTAATGATAATCTCTATTTGCAGCCGCTCCCCAGCATTAGCCTTACCACCTCATCTCCACCTCAGATTATCAGACATTAGATTCTCTTAGGAAGTGCGCAACCTAGATCCCTCACATGCGCAGTTCACAGTAGGGTTTGCGCTCCTATAAGAATCTAATACCACTGCTGACAGGACAGGAGGTGGAGCTCAAGCAGTAATGGGAGCAATGAGGAGTGGCTGTAAATACAGATGAAGCTTCACTCACTTGCCTGCTGCTCACTTCCTGCTGTGCGGCCTGGCTCCTAACAGGTCACAGACCAGTACTGGGCCATGGCCCTGGGGTTGGGGTACCCTGCTTTATAGTGAACTTGTTTTTTCCCTCACCCAATCTAAATGAGGTTTCTGTTTCAGGTATAGAGAGGAGAGGGTTGTGGTTGGCATCTAGATGGTCAGAGCAGAGCATGACTAGTGAATAATATGGAAATGGAAAACTTCTTTCTGACCTTGTACTTTCACAATGAACTTGCAGCTGGCCCGGTTGTAGGCTCGGTCATAGGCAGTGTAACGAATCACATGCTCTCCTTCGGGAAAGTGAGAGCCAGGCTCTGGGCCCCGAAGCATCACCCTACATGGAACAGAGTGAAAGAACTACTGAGGAAAGGTATCCTTAGGATCAGGGTCTGGGGCACATCATCACTGTAGCCTCAGCCCAAGAGCCTGGAGAAGCTTCTGAGAAGCATAAAAGGTATCCATTACTCACCTGGTGATGGTACCATCAGCAGAATCTTTCACCAAAGGTGGGTTCCAGGATACTCGAGCAGTCAGTTTCTCTGGCTCTGCCATCTTCACACGTGAGTGGGGACAATGGATCTTGGGGGGATCTATGTCTGCCAAGGTCAGAAATCAGGTGTTGACTTATGGGTCCCATGCCTTCCCTGGAGGGAACCCATAGGGACAATACCACACCAGTGGGTAGGTAAAAGATAAACTCTCTATTCAAGATGCTCAAGAAAGCCCAGCTGTGGGGGATGTGATCATTTCTATAAGCATGTGCCCAGAGTGCCATCTTTATAGCAAGCAAGAATGCCTTCTGCAGTAAGAATTCTACATCCTTTGTGAACACAATACCAGGGTGACTCTTTGCAGCAAGAAAACTGGGAGTGACCAACATTTACCTACACATACAGGCTCGCTTCCACTCCATTGCCCATCTTCCATGCAGATTCTGCTGTGGTCACCTTCCAGGTGGTAGCCACTGGAACAGCTGTAGTCACAGCGGGAGTCAAGAAGCACCCCATTTGTGCAGGTGTAGGTGCCACTCGTAATGAATGGCAATGTGTGGCATCTCATCTCTAAGAGAAAACCAAATGGCAAGCTCAGTGGCCTGTGGGACTATCTGGAGGTGATGGTAGGGCATATAACATAGGGATAACCATATCAGAGAGAGAATAAAATGCAAAAACCCTACCTCTAACTGCCCTTACATTTTTGTGCCTAATTGCCTCTCTTTCCTAATTGCCTTCATATTTTTATATTATAAGATGCAGTAGTGCTGGGGTTATAAAAGAAGTAAATGACTTGTCCAAGTGCATGGACTTGTGCATGAACTTGAGATTCACACCTGAGTTTAGATCCCAGCTCCACCCTTTGCAAACTCTCGGACTTGAACAAGTTACATCATCTCTCAGAGGCTCAGTGTTTTCACCACTAAAATATGGATATATCATAGAACTGTTGTGCAGATTAAAAGGGATGATGCCTGCCCTAGCTGGTGTGGCTCAATGGATTGAGTTCTGGCCTGCGAAGCAAGGGGTCGCTGGTTTGATTCTGAGTTGGGGCACATGCCTGGGTTCCAGGCTGGGTCCCCAGTGGGGAGGTGGTGCATGGGAGGCAGCCGCATATTGATTTTTCTCTTCTCTCTTTCTCCTTCCCTTACCCTCTGTCTAAAAATAAATACATAAAATCTTTTTTTTTTTTTAAAGGGACAATGCATACAAACCTCTGGGCTCATTTAGGGCCTCAGCTGCTAATAGTTTTCATCTCTTGCTCCTCAAATGTTAGATATCTTTGAACAAATTCAGAGCCCCTTTTTAAGTATTATTTTGGTATTGTCACAAGCACTCCTCAGCTGAAGCTCACTTACGTGTGAAAGTAGGCTGGCCCTCTATCCAGATAAGATAAGGAAGGCCAGTGCCTAGAGCGCCAACTTTGAGGGTATTTGATTAAAGAAAACTCCATGTGCTTTAGATACTACATGTGCCAGAAGTGGAAACTGCTACCATAAGTTGATTGTGAACCTGTGCTTGCCAAAGTCTAGTTTGAAATATCTGATACTTGAAAGAAGTGGGCAAGTCATACATTCTTTTACATTGTTTAAGATCTAACACTGCATAAGTTCAATTAGTGCAGCTTTCCATAAAGATTCTATAAGCTATGTTCATTTTGCTTCAAGGCCAAATCAGACTTGCAGATTATTGCATTTTATGTTTTCCAGTATCCTTTATGCAAAAATTACCTCCCTGAAATCAGTGCCAAGAAGAAATGTTTGTCTTTTCAGGTGAACTTGTTTTCTTAATATATATGACAGTGAAAGATTCACTATTCAAAAACAGTAATTAACTCATTCTAGACACCTGGAAATATGTACATCTCCATTCTTTTAACTTGTTTTATATTCATTTATAGAATTATCTATTTAATTTTGTGAGGCCAATTCAAATTTGTTTTGGAAACAATGAGGTCCAAGTCCTAAAACAAATTAATTACTGTCATTTAAAGGGTGTGGTGGCTTCCTTATTTCTGGCTATCAAGCTTCTCCTGTCCCCCACAGCACGTTTTCTGACCAACCTAATTTCTCTCTGACTGATCAGTACCCTGTGTGATCACACAGAATTCATGTGCACACATTTGTGTTTCTATTCCATTAGCCTATAAGCTTCCTGTAGGTAATTGAGGAATTGAGTAAGCTTCTGAAGAAATCAGTGAAGGACCCAGCACACATGGATGTCCTACAAGTGCCATCCAGAAATAGACATATGGACAGACAAAGCTCAGCTGATATAAAAAAATAAATAAAAGTAGGCTGTAGATCTTGAATAAGAGATATGGATTTGGGAGTTGAGGGGGACATGATTTGGAATGTGTGTATTAGCATCCCCACATTCTAGCCAAAATATTCTTTGTGACATTCCAAAGAATGTTAAAAATAACAGATTTCTCATAGCTTCACTGACAAGGCCATATAAGGCCCTAGGCCAAGAAGTATTGCAGTTTGCCACAAGTTGGAAAGGGTCTGAGACCACACTTCCTTCAATATTCCAGAAGAAGGCCCAGGTCTACATCAGGCCCCAGACCCAGGTCTTATGAGCACTCCTCAGCCCCCAAGCCAGAAAAGCTGGTTACTGCTTAAATGCCCTTATTACTTGGACAATAACCATAGAGAGAGGAAATGAGCTAGAATGTTAGGATGGGGAAAGACTATTTTAGGTGCCTGTGGAAAGTCCTCAATTTGCACTTGATAGAAGGCATGGTAACACCTCCAGGCATATACCCTCAAGGACTGGCTGGCTGGCTGGCCTCTCTCACACACATGCATCAGCATCTGCACACACACCACTTACGCCTGCAGTAGGCAGTTCCAGACCAGCGGCGGCTTGGCAGACATTGCACCGACCTTCGTCCAATCAGTCGATAGCCCTGGTCACAGGAGAGATCACAACGAGTGCCCAGGCTGCTGTGATAATTTCCTCCCCTTGGTGAGTAGCATGTGGCTTCTCCGTCTTGGATGTTTAATGTATAACACCATCGGGGGGCTGTAGCAATAGAAGAAAAATAAGCTAGAAGTACAGTAATTAAAACAGTGTATTGGTAAAAAAGACAGACACATAAATCACTGGAACAGAAAAGAGAGTCCAGAAATAGACCCATACAAATATGATGAAATGATTTTTTTGACAAAGATGCAAAAGTAATTCAATGGAAGAAAGATACCCATTCGAACAAATGTTGCTTGAGCAATTGAACTTCCATAGTTTAAAAAAAGAACCAGAAGGGAGGGAGGTAGGGGGGAGGGGAAGGGAAGAAGGGGGAGGAAGAGGAGAGGAAAAGAATCTCGACCTAAGTTTTACACCTTATATAAAAATTAATTCAAAATGGACATGGATTTAAATGTAAAAAGTAAAATTACAAAAATTTTAGAAAAAATAGGAAAAAACCTCTGAGATCTAGAGCTAACGAGTCTTAGGCATGACACCAAAAGCACAATTAATGAAAAAATCAATAAGCTTAACCTTGTCAAAACTAAAAATTTTTTGTTCTATGAAAAGCACTGTTAATAGATGAAAGACCACCCACAAACTGGAACAAAATATTTGCAAACCACACATCCAACTAAGGACTGATATTTAGAATATATAAAGAACTCTAAAAACTTAACAGTAAAAAGAAAACAATTCAGTTAGCATACAGACGAAAGACACGAACAGACATAATACTGAAGACGATATACTGATGGCAAATAAGCACATAAAAAGATCTTCAGCTTCATAAGTCACTAGAGAAATGTAAATTAAAACTGCAACAAGATACCATTATATACCCATTAAAATATTTAAACTTAAAAAATACTGGCAAAACCAAGTGTTGGTGAGGATGGAAACTGGACTCTTATACATTCCTGGGGTAGACACAATATGAGACAGCCACTTTGGAAAATATTTTGTTAGTTTCTTATAAAGGTAAACATACACTTGCTATGCAACTCTGCAATCAGACTTTAGGTGTTTACCCAAGTGAAATGAAAACCTGTGTTCATACAAAATCCTGTATACAAATGTTTAAAGTATCTCTATTCAACAATACAAAGATGCAAGGAAAATAAGACCAGCAACACTGAAAGAGAAAAGAAACCAACAGAGACAAGAGGGAAGGAGGGAGTGGGGGCGGGGAAAAGGAAGGGAAGGGGAAAGTCAAGGAACATATAGCAAGGACTCATGGACAAAACCAAAGGGGAAGAGCTGAAGGAGGGAGGGAGGGTAGGAGGGGGCAAGGGAAAGTGGTGAGAGGTAGGCAGAGACAAATGTATTTGAAAGAATAAATTAATTAATTAAAAAAAGTATCTCTATTCATAATTGCCAAAGCTGGCAACAGTTCAAATGTCCTCTATGGGTGAATGGTTAAACTAACTGTTATTTATTCATACAAAAAAAGAAAGTGTTGATGCATGCACCAACATGGATGAATCTCCAATGCAGCTTTGTGAAGTGAAACAGGCCAAACTCAAAAGGCTGCATATTGCAGGATTCCTTTTATACAACATTTTGGATAAGGCAAAAATAAAGGGACAAATTGATGGTTTCCAGAGACCAGGGATAGAGTCCAGGATAACTTCAAAGAGGCAGCCCTGGGCAAGTTCTTGATGTGATAGAGCTGTTTGGTTCTGTGGTGGTAGTTATATAACTATGCATTTGTCAAAACTCATAGAACTCTGCACTAGAAAGAGTGAAAATCACAGTAGGTAAATTTAAAATATTTTTTTAAATGATACAAAGATAGAGGCTAGGGAGAGGAAGGGAATGCAATGTCAAAGAGGACTGCTTAAGAATGAAAGTCCAGGTATTGCAGGCAGACCTGGTCAGCCTGGCTCTGCATGAAGCTAATGGGAATTAGGGAGAGAGGAAGGGGGAGAGAGAGGCATGGATTGGATGTCGTCCTGTCCACACTATGACCAGGGAATGAAGCCACCACCTAGGTGTTTTTCAGCAGCCTGTTGTTTACATTTAAAGTAAAGAGGGAGGATGCATACAAAATCAGAAATGAAAGAAGAGTTAGGACAAACTCAAGAAATATAAAGGAGCATACAAGCATACTAGGAAAGACTGGGCGGCACCCAATTCAATAACCTCGAAAAAATGCACAAGTTCCTAGAAAAACATAGCCTTGCTAGATGGAATCACAAGGAATCGGAAAATCTAAATAGACCAATAAACAGTGAGGACATGGAAATAACGATCAAAAACTTCCCTGAAACTGAAAAGTCTAGGACCAGGTGGCTTCGCGAGTGGATTATACCAAACATTCAAGAAGACTGGATGCCTATCCTTTTCAAACTCTTCCAAAAAGTTGAAGAAGAGGCAACATTTTTAACACATCTAAGGAGGCCAACATAATGCTACAACAAAAACCAGCCAAGGATAACACACAGAAAAGAACACTGTAGACCAATTTATGATGAATACCTTTTGCAACAACATGGATGGAATTGGAGAATATTATGCTAAGTGAAATAAGCCAGTTGGTGAAAGACAAATACCATATGATCTCACCTATAAGTGGACTCTATTCAACAAAATAAACTAATGAACAAAATAAATCACAGGAATGGAAACATGGAGCAGAGTAAAAGTGACCAGAGGGGATGGGGAAAGAGGACAATGGTGGAAAGGAGGGAAACGGAATAGACAAAAACATGTAGGAATGACCCATGGACATGGACAACAGAGTGGGAATTGACTGTGGGAGTGGAGGGTCGGGGTGAGATGGGGGAGGGGAGTAAAGAGGGAAAAATTGAGATAACTGTAATAGAATAAACATGATTTATAAATTAAAAAACTGTACAAATAAAACAATGAATGAAAAAGACAAATATTAAAAATAAGTAAGTAAGTAAATAAATAAATGCACTTCTGGAAATTTTGGTAGAAAATACAAAGAATTAGGTCATTTCAATTCTTCAAGCCAAAAGAAATAAATTTCCCACAGGAAAAAAAAAATGAATGAAAGTCCAATTCCAGTTCAGTACTGAAGGTAATAAGGTCATTAAATCATAAAAGCATCATAAAATGGCATCATTGGCTACACAATAGGAATAACTCTCTAATGGGTTCAGATTTTAAAGGGACACCTGTAAGCAGGCAGAGGGCTACCTGTCCAAGGATGCATATACAAGATGACACAGATCTGTTAGTCTGAGGTCAGGAAAGCTAAAGCCCCATGTGAACTCATTCAATCCCTAAATCCCTAAATCCCTAAATCCTAAGGGACAAAAACGAAGAGGCTTTAAAAAAAAAAAAAAGCACATCAGGAGTTAAATGAAGAAGGAAAGGCTAGAGCCTCTGCTTGAAGGCAGCTGAAGAATGAAGACAGATGACAGTGAGAAAAACCACACACTTCAAGCACCAACACACTTGTTTGTGGCTTTTAGCATTAGTTTTGAGCCTGTGGCTGTGACGCAAGACTACCATCTGGAGACACCATCTCCAAATTACATAAAGTCTCAAGCACTACAGTTGCAGAACTGTTAATTATGTGATCACAACATATATCAGAAAGACTTTATATGGGAGCCTGGGACCTCAACAATCACTCCCATCCTATTTCTCTACCACATTCTGACAAGGAAAATGCACATCAGATTGGAATAGATAGAACAAGCAAAAATAGTAAAATGAAACATAGAGCTAAGAATAAATACTGAGACAGTGAGAAAGGGCCTAACTATTGTAATAAGTTCAAATTTCTTGGTCCAGAGGAATCCTGGTATAAAGAAAACATGTTGGGAAGCTGGAAAAGAACAAAAACATTATCTTAATTTTCTTTTTTCCCCAGATTTGAGGTATAATTGACTAATAAAACTATATATAATTAAGTTGTATAACATGATATTTTCAATTATATTTGACATTTACTATAGTTTTATATTAGTTTCAGGTGTACAGCACAGTAGTTAGACATATATAATTTATGAAGTGATCTTCCTGATATCTCTAGTAACTCCCTGGCACCATACATACAGTATTATTAAATATGTCACCATTCTGTACATTAGATCCCCAGAAGGCAAAAGAAGGCCCCTCTGGGTACTATAGCCTGGTGAGATCAACAGCACAGTTATCAGTATTCTGCAGTATTTAAACACAGGCTTATGAGCAGTTAGAAAGAGAAGTGATCAGTCTCCAGGTACCCTCAAGAACAAGGCATTCAAGACTGACCTCATATCCTTCTTGGGTATTGTCACCAGACTGGTAGAGCAGGGGAAATGGATAGTTACGCTATTTAGAAATAAGTGAAGCATCTGACAATGCCTTCATACCATTGATGTGGATGAGATGCAGAAACACAGGAGAGATGACAATATAGTTATGAAGATTCATAACTGGCTGAACAACAGTACCCAAAGAATGTTAATGGAAAACTGAAACTCAGAACATGGCTAAATACTAAATGGTGAAATGTCTGTCAGGAAATGTGCTAGTCATTACTGAGTAGCTACTGTGTGCTGGACACCATGCTTTATATTTTCATTTTCACATTCATCACCTCAAATATTTCTCCCAACAGCCCTGTATATTAAGCAGGTGTGTGTTCCTATCTTGCAGATGAGGAATTAACTTGCCTACGGTCCCTCAGCATGTAACCCAAGCTTTGTCTGGCTCTAAACCCATATTTTTTCCTAACCACAGTATCTATCACTGTAGCATGTTAAATTGCTATTTTGAAGTATAACTTTACACTTTTGAATAGGTAATGTAGCCACTTGGTTCAAAATCCAAAAAGTGTAAACTGTTACACAGTAAAGTCTCCCTCCCACTCCTGGTCTGACACACACAGCTGCTTGGTCCCCTCATAAAGAACTACTGTTAATAGTTTATGCATATAAAGCCAATATTGCTAGATAATCTTATATTTCCCTCTTTTTTAACATTTAGAATAGCATATTATGCCCACTGTTCTTACAAGTGCTTTTTTTAAAAATAAATTTAATGGGTTTTAGAGAGAGTCCCATATCACAAAAAGCATGAGATTTACTTAAATG